CAGGAACAATAATAAAGAACTGGACATTATGTATTTTAACGTTTTTGATATTGAAAACCCGTTTTTAAAGTTCTTTTTTTAATAAATAAAACCACTCTGCACTCTTTTATTATTGAAAACGTAAACAAACGACAGCTGTTTTCGCGTTGTTACCACCTAGTATGGTGGTAATAAAATTGTCCGGTGACAATTATGTGCAGAATACAAAAAGGGTGTAAAATTTGCCGGAGGTTTTAGTTACCGGTAACAAAAATGTTGTCGGTGCCGAATAGACCTGTTAGTCGCTCAATTAGGGACTGTGAATATTTTTAATCGCTCATCTTTCTATTGCTGTTTTTGAGTCGTTGGAGTTTGCGTTTATAAAATTTACACAAGACAAGAAAGTGGTAGCGTAGAAGGGGGAGCATTCGCCAATTTTGTTTAAGTCTCTGCCGAAAGTAAGCCGATCAATTTGCTTGTTTAATGTTTGGTCATCTCGAAATATACATCATTTAGCATCTTATATTCATCTTCCTACGGTCATTTATTTTGGAATGTCTATACGTTTTTTAATGATTTTTGAACGACCCAAAATAGTGAAACTGCCCCACCCATGGGGTAAATCCCCTATCGATATTGGGTGGAAACGTTAAGACAAAAAAGCGGAACATAAGAAACTTTAATATTGTCTTGAATTCAAAAACCTTAAGTCAACACTATTTCTTATAAGGAGCATAATAATAATACAGTAATGTTTTTCTGCAAAAGGGTTCCCTAATTTATTAGACTATTCGGCGTACTTCCTCTATGGCACTATACTTTTCCCGAACCCCAAACTAATGCAGAGCTATGGTATTGTTTTGCGCTATCATGCGTTGTAATTTTTTCGCGAACAGTTTTTCGAAAATTTTTTGATAATACAGAGGTTCAACTGGTTGGCCTGTATGAACCTATTATGGGCCGATCTTTAACTGGCTTAGGTACCATAATTATTTCAGATAGTTTCCAGACATTCGGGAGATATTTCCAGTTTGTATGAACTAAAAGTGTGAAGTGTACGAACTAAAGGTGGGCAGGGTAGTATATCTTTAGCCATTATCGTTCGAAATTTTAGGCAGTTGTGATCTTATCATAACCAGGAGCTTTATTAGTATGAATATCATTGGCTTTGGTATTTCTTAAATCGGTGAGCTTGAATCGAAGGGAAATAGTGGTTGAGTTACTATTAGTAATTAAGTTGTTTGAAGGTGAAGGGCTTTCATTGGGTTTAAAAACGTATGAAAGATGTCGAGCAAGAGCTGTTACTTTATCTTCATCGCTCCTCGCCCAGTTCCCATTAGGAGTTCGGGTAGGCGATTCTCGAAGTACCGGTTTCTTTTCATACTTCATGGTACGCCAGAGAGAAAAATTTGTCTGGCATGAAGCAGACAAGTTTTGAAGAACCGAGGGCGTGTCTTTTTTTCTGCTTGCAACAAACGACTTAATTCTTTCTTACATGGATTTAGTTCCTATATAACACGAGGAGAACGAAGTATCCGCTACTCTCTTCACAATTTGCGCTTTTTAAATATTAGGGTAAGAATGCTTGGAGTGTGCCCGTAAGGGCGGGTTGAAACACAATGTTTGAAAATAGCATCCTGGGTTGAGTTTTCTGCAGCTTTTAGTATGACAACAGCTACACCAGCGGCACATCTACCCCATGGGGCACATTTGCCGGCGAAACAACCCCACTTGGAGTCTGGTCGATCTGCGCCACGTGTAACTTCTTTTATAAAACTCACTTTTTTTTAAGAGCCGTAAACAATGCAATAGAACAAGCTATCGATTTAATTTAAAGCAACATTGGCGGTATTCCACATATAAAAAACTATTTCATAACACCACAATTCACAAAATTATTACAAAATATATTTAGCCACAAAACTTTTCCCAGCAACGCAAAAAATGGATAAAAGCGACTATCTACAACCACCTGCAAAGATGAACTGTCAAAGTAAATAAGAAGAGATGTGGTCGTTGAAGCACAAGTTATCGATTTTCAAAGATCGATAGCACTAGTAACTTTGAAAAACACCATGGGTGGCGAATGCTCCCCCTTCTACCCTACTATAATGGATAAAAGTAAGTCAATTGACTGGCGGTTGTAAAAAATTGGAATATACAGACGTATGTATGTGTCTGAATTACAGATCAAAAATTGTAAGCAACAAAAGGCAACTTGCGCGGTTGGTCGAGCTGATGCAGGAGAATGAGGAATAGGCAAAGAGATTTGCGGAAAGAGTAGGGCGAAACTAATGACCCTATTATGTATGGCGACTGGGGTCTAGTTGCTGGTCTAGAAGTCATGGCTACCAGTATTGTAATTTGTATTATGTGTAGCGATTAATCTCGGTATACAGAAAAGCGCAGAAAATATCCGAATTTACTTTTTTGAATTGAACTTGAAGGTAATTGGCAACTTTGCTCCAATGTGTTGAGCAATTTATGTGAACAAATAACGAAATCGTCGATAGCGGGAAACAGAAAATTTCGCTACTAGACTCAGTAGCCAACAGTCAGTAGCCAGTAGCCATAAGTAATACGAGTTTTAGTATATGGTTGCCCATCGGCTATCAGTCGCCGTACACAATAGGGCCATCAGATAGGAAGTCATTGCAGTGGAGCTGAACAGCTTGGGACCACCAATGAGTTCGGGGGAAAAGTGGTTAAAGGTAACAAATTTCTATAAGAGTTGTGTTGAATAAATTAATGCGTTCATATGTTGATGTAGGTTGGACAGATTTAAAGAGGAAAAGAAAGAAGAGAGTATAAGAAAATAGATCGGAATTTCGTGCAACTGGAGGAGGCCAAAATAATCTGCATATCCTTACCCCGCATTTCTCGTGTATATAACTCCAGCTACGCCATCCACAGTGTTTTTGCGCAGAACCAACATCAAAGTTTAGAAATTTATTTTAAATTAAACTTTAATTCTTTCACTACATGTGTACGTTAAAGTTTTTAAAATCGGGCCACAAATACCAAACATCATTGTACAAACAATTAAACCTTACCGTATTTCTTAAACTAGTTGCGTTCCAGATGCTTCTATAAATAGAGACTTTGACAGAATACATAAATTTTTTTTCCCCTATTTAACAAACATAATTGTATAGATTTATTACATATAAATATATGAACTTCGTGTGGTGGCGTATGGCGTTGCTAGTCGCAGAATGGAATTTTGTATCGCAGTCCGCAGTTTTATAGCCCATTTAATTCCAATATAATAAAGTGCAAGTTTCAAGTCGCTAAAAAATTGCGTTGATTTTTAGCGATTTTTTTAGATCTAGAAACTTCAAACTTGCACTTTGTTGTACTGCAATTAAATGGGCTATGCAACTACATACTCAAAAATTTTCTAAGCATTCTGAAAAAAGGTTGATTTTTTTTTTGAGACTTCTGTTCTGTTTCTAACTTTTGCACAAATTATGTAATTCAGATTTATATGGTTTTTGATAGATAAGAAGCTTTACCTTTTAAAAAAATGAAAGAAAAAAATTTCAGAATGAAAAAACATTGTGAAAATTGTAAAACTATCACTATATCATATAGTGGGAGTTACTGTATATTATCTTAATAAAAAGTAATATACTACGCTATATGGTTGATTAAATATCGGCGAACCCTTTCACATTCTCGATGGAGGTGACTGCTAGTTGCATTCGAGGATTCTGTATTTAGTTCCCAACTTTCTTCTTCTTCCAACTCCACTTCATCATTTGGCCACAATTTCACCATCATATTGTGTAAAATAAAGCAAGTGTTTACTATTATAGTCACAACCTCTGGGCTCTTGCAAAGACGCTGGTTCAGCCAAGGGAGTAATCAGCCAAGGCTGTAATGGATATCCCTGATCACCAAGCAACAAACTCCCTCTTTGAGTGCTCATAAATGAACGCACCTTAGATGTTGTCCATAAGCCTGAGTCATGGCAGGATCCCGGAAAGTTAGCATTAATGGCCAAAAATCTTAGTTTATCATCACATACTGCTTCAACATTAACACTATAGTAACCCTTTCTGTTCATATAGAGACTGCAAGGTTTTGTTGTGTCATTCTTCGGTGGACAGATCAGCGCCACATGTGTGCAGTCGATTGCACCAACACCTCCTTTTAATCCGAACTTTGTATAGAATCTAGCAAAACTTTAAAAGCTCATGAGCACATTTACACATACTTAATTTGTTGGTAAATTACGTAGCTTTTATAGCCAATTGTTCCTCGTTTGTGATAGGAAATGTTACTTCCGATGACTTGTGCTTCACGATCAGGTTGCATATATATTTAATTGCCCGTGAAGCAGACGATTGACTGAGTGGAGCGTAGATATTGTTCGCGATACATTTTTGGTACGAACCATTCGCCAAGAAAGTGAAGCAGCAAAAAAATCTCACAGCAAACGGCAAGGACGCTATCTGCATATCCTTTGGAAATAGTTCCTCTATTAGCATCTTACATGCATCTTCGGCATTCGAAAATGTTGTTTAAAAATGTTGTGAGGTAAATTAAGAGGATCACTGCTGTCCCGAAAAGTTTTCAATTATTGCCTGCGTAGGGGCTTTTCATATTCTTCTTCATCAATTACCAGGAACAATAATAAAGAACTGGACATTATGTATTTTAACGTTTTTGATATTGAAAACCCGTTTTTAAAGTTCTTTTTTTAATAAATAAAACCACTCTGCACTCTTTTATTATTGAAAACGTAAACAAACGACAGCTGTTTTCGCGTTGTTACCACCTAGTATGGTGGTAATAAAATTGTCCGGTGACAATTATGTGCAGAATACAAAAA